AATTGCACAACTATCGTAGTAAGGGCGATAGTACGAGCTAAGCCTGGTAACATCCCCCGGTCGGCGAACGCACCTACACGAAAAGATAAATTGCTCTCCCAAAACCCCCATTTAATTCCCGACCGTAACAGTAAGACCAATGATTGTCAACTTTTTTTTCCAGATGTAATTAAGCCAAGGGATGATATCTATTTTGAAACAGTCCATATATTATATTCTAAAACAACTTGTAGTGCACAAATCTTTCGTAAGAGTATGGACCATACTGAGATTCCTTTTGCATTGAGTTAATCAATAATATACTGCATATTTTATAAAATACTTACAAGAAATGTAGTCTTTCTGGCTTTGAATTAAATAAATAAATGTTTGTAACATGAAAATATAGTGCTTTCAATTATTTTATTTTCTGATTATGATGCATTAAATTTCTAGTTGCTATCACTACTAACACCAGATTTCTGAAGTAAAAAATTATCCATCCCATATCTACAAAATTTTGTCTATCTATACCATAAAAATATCAATTTTAGTTAAGTTTCATAAGAGAATTAAATAATTTCGATCTATTATTATGTCACATAACAAAATGTTCACGTTGTTCTGGTTTTGTTGCAGTATGCCCCAAATATGATATAATAATAATCAACATCATGATCTTTTTCAAAATTATAATTGTCATCAAAGCTCACTTCACTTGTGTCGGATCGCCACACGTTCGTGTAACGACCTTGGGATTTAATCGTCTTTCGGCGGAACTCTTAGGCTCGTTCCTACTATCGCTAAACCTCTATCCAATTAGTGACTGATAGGATTTATTATTATCAATACGCACGGACTTAATCCGACTATCTGTATACGCTTGCTCTGGATATTATTCAACCTCTGAGTCACACACTCGATTATGATTATTAACGAAAATCTATCGGTTGGGAAGTCTTCAATAATAATAACGCGTTAAACACAATTGAATAATAATCCTGATGCCTAAGTTCCGATAAGTTCAATGGCAAGATCAAACTTATTAACCGCCGATCGAGAAAGCGTTCCCCTTAGTCAGCGATTCACCAGGGAATGAACGAAAATATCAACTATATTAATTACAGATTTATTAGAATTCAAAGAGCTATTCTAATTACAAGGATTATAAGGACAAATAGAATCAAATATGCTGAAGACACTGAAGACACCGTTCAGAGCGGAAAACTACAACTGCTTATATGTCTAACTACTGTTTCACTATTTTGACGCCATATTTCGATATATTAATATGGGGCGCGATCAGCTGCGTCACCGCTATGTTACATTTGACACCATATTTCGATATATCGGGTCTATATTTCTGACACCAAATCTGTCCCAAATATCTGGTGTTGTGTACCAAATATTCGCTGTGCCACAGATCGGAGATGTTTGTTTTCGGGACATCTCAGTCTAGAACTTCAGACATTTTAGTTGTCTCGGTCCAGAACTCAGACATTTTAGTTGTCTCGGTCAGAACTCAGTCATCTTAGTTCAGAACTGAGACAGGTCCCGAACTGAGGTACAACATTTGACCATTGAGCGGAAATCACTGAGGAATACCGAGCCTTTTTAGACCTAGGCTTGACACCTATTACTATCTCTATATAAAAATAAAATATATGAAACTAATTTAAATTACAGCACTATTAGAAGCATTCGAAAGAAAGCTCAATTGCACCTTATGTTTTTAAAATCAATGATTATGATACCCAACACTCCAGGAATATCTATAGATAAAAAAAAAAATTACTTATGAAATTTACCAAATAATAAACGAACATTAACACCAACTTATGATGAACCAAGAAAGAAACGAAAACTTGAAGAAATATAAAAAGAACAATTCCAGCAGCCATTTGTTGAATGGACTTATAATTATCTCCTTATTATTTTAAAATAATACTTTTACTATAAAGTTTTAAGAGCGACATTTAATTATGAATAATAGCGATTTGAAACTCGTGGCATGAGTCGGTGAGACCAAGAACATTTTTTGTGTTCTCAGTGTGAGTATTGTCAGATACTAAAGATCATTAGTGCAGCTATTGCGTGAATTGTGGAAGAACATTTCGCTTGACGGAATGGTAATGCACAGCATGTGTAATGTGCGACCAGTAAAAGTCTTAAAAGATAGAGCTGATGATGGAAAATCGATACTTAAAGCCTTAGTAACCGACTTAGAAAACAGTGTTTTTACCTACTTTGCCCACAGCGGAAGACCCGGCAGACCTGCTGCGCTGGGCAAGAGACATATTCCCCGATTCGGACACTCAAGAGAAGAGGAAGAGGAGTGACTGTTTTCACCAGTCGAAAGCATTCCAGACGAGGGAGGGTACGATAGTTGAAGCAAGCGGAGTAGGAGACGAGTGGTGTTGAGATCTGTAGTAATGCAGAGAAAGGGGAGAGAGAGTTCGAAGGAGTTAGTTTAAGTGGGAGTGATAGTGAGTTGTTAGAAAGATGTAGAATATATAGAGAACAATGGGATGGAGGAAGGTTCCAGCTGACGCATACTCCATAGTAATAGGAGAAATGTTAGATATAGAAGTCATAGTGATTCTAAGTGAGCAAAACAAATTTTGGTATAAAGTTGCAGTAACTGCCTATATCATGAACGAAGGAGCTGAGGATGTATCATTGGAGCCGCTAACAGCCCGCCAGCTCTTATATGGACGCTGGACGATTAAACCGACATCAGCGGCAGCGCAGAAATGTAGTTCGGAATAGGGGTAGTCTGTGACGCCTCGAGTAAGTATGAGTCGGTGTTAATTGCGTTTCTATATGCGGGGTTTGTATGGACCAAGGTAACGAACGAACTTCCATGACCTCTCCGCTGGACTGGGTAATTGTATCCGTCATAACCGTCATAATCTCGACTGTAACTCGACACCATTCTCGACAGTTTCTGATAGTTTGGTTATCCCAGCTAACATATATTGATGTTCTGCTAATTGTACCCATTGTTTTTCTAACTCCATGCAATACTTAAGCAAGCAGTTTGGTCATTATCACAGAAATATGAAGAGGTGGGTAAAACATTGGGCTTACCAAGAATAATAGAATGATATAAGCATAACCAAAGTGACTTGTTAAAATATCATATTTATAAGTTTACCTTTGAGGTGTTTTGGGTCCTTTATTGAGCACACATGGATTTACTGTGCTTTTACTACTCTGAGGTTTTTGAGCTTTCTCTATCAGGTGGCTGATCACTTGAATAAAGCCATCCTCATAATCAGCCAAGGCTAGATTAGTTTGGTTTTGACATAAATACGACTTTACTCTTGCTTGTTACTGGCCTCATACTCATCACATTCAATAAATGGGTCAGCCCAATAAAAAAGGATAGCAATCCATTGTTACGGTCGGGAATTAAATGGGGTTTGGGAGAGCGATTTACTTTTTTTGCGAAAACAGCGATTATAACGTGTACAGTTTGTGACACGACCCACATTATCTGACACAAGTAGAAGTAGTCAATAAAGTGATACTTCTTTAGATTACGATAGCGTAATGACATGATTGCTTGCTGGTATGAGTTTCGAGCCTTACCGGAATTATGTGAAAATGCGTAGATGTACGGCATGCGGAAACCCAAAACGGGAAGTATAACTAAAATTTTCAAAAGGATGACATTACCGCTCAGGATAATTGGACATGTTCCACAGAATTGCCTATCAACGGGAATAATGAGGTCGCCAATTGACATTAACTACGGAGCAATCCACAATATTGATCTAACAGATGCTTGCAGCTTGAAATTATCCATTTTCGTGTTCTCATTGGAAAATTCGATAGAGAACTATCTCGGAATATTGAATACGTTGGTTAAAGTGACATACTGATGATGTCTCGGCCGTGATGGGCTTGATATCGTAGTGAACCGTCGAACGTTTAATTCATAACCCTCTTCGTGTGGGTACCTCGTTGGAAACGGACCTACTTGAATGCACCGCCCACGGAGCCTTTGGAAGTAAGATGAACGGATGATTGAGCAGAATGGCCGTGGAGGAGGGGATAGTTTCTTAGGATGGGACATCTCGGCCAAAGGACCAAATCTCTCTTTTATGTAGTAGATTGCTATTATATTGGTTTACATTCGCCAATAAATTAATTCATGATAATATCCATCATGTCAATTATATTTCTATATTCTCATCTAATACTTGGAGATGTTCCAATTCAAATCTGAATAGAACGATGACAAAATATTTCAAATCAATAGTCTAACTAAAGGAACGATTATATTTATACATATTAATAAATATAACGACAATAACCCAAGCGTATATATATCAAATAACGACAATAAGACCCAAGCTTTCATTGTCTAAACCCAAGCTACCAAAATACCGGCAACCATCAACCCAACAATAGCGCTTACTACAGTTGTCTCAACACCAGAACTTCTCTGACCAGCACTTTTTTGAACTGGTGAAGGCGTAGGAGTCGTGCTAGGAGTTGTCGATGTTACATTATTAGTCATATCAGTAGAAAGCACTGCATTAATCAGCAGTCTCTCTGTTGTTGGGTTATACACAATCAAACACCACGATTCCTTTGTCACTGTGCTTGCTTTCTCGCATGTTTTTACTGTTGCGTCACTACAGGATAAAGATGCGTTATAGACGATGTTCGGGACGGCAGGATTGAGGAAGTCGCGGACTCCACTGCGTGTGGTGAGAAGGGTGACGAAGCCTTCTGTAATAGAGGAGACGGTATAATTTGCTCCGGAATTTATTGTACCGAAGTTGTTGATTGGAGTACCAGTGGCGGTGGTGGCGGCATTGTAATCTGATAGTATATAAAGAATCAGAAGAGTTAGTGGAATAATAAACCCAAGGTGAAATAAAGACCGTTATAGTAATAACGGAAGCTATTCAATCACTTTTGAGATAGTTTCTGTCTGTCGAGCATTATCACAATTTTTGTTATAAAATATCTAACTTTTAATGAGGACGTAAATTCCCTCAAGAAATGGGGCTTGACAATAACAAACAACGGGCTTTTTAATACTTACAGATGTATGTTGTGTTTTGAGCAGAGCAGAGATACCAAGTTAAAGTTGATTCAAGTATAAATGTACCCTTTTCTGTTTCTGCTGAAACACATCCCACCTACGAAACACAATATCCCATTAGTTCTTGGCGCTGGAAAACTATCTGGAAACGTCTGCTCTTGACTGACTAAAACTTGATTGTTCGATCGTATTGTCGTTTGTTAGGCTTGTTAAACGGAATAAGTGTCTTTGGTGGACTATATTGCCTTACACTTGTCTTCTTTTAAATTCTTGCTGCTTGCTCAACCTCTCTTCCTATTCCCTTCTTTCTCGGATCGTCTACTCACCCCAATTAGTAAAAGAACACCGAGCAGGAATAAAAGTTTATTCTGCATGATCGATATGATGAATCGATGATAAATTATCAGTGTTCTAGAAAAGAATGTGTATATATATGGGGTGGACCCGCCGTGTTAATATTGAAGGAAATGAACTCGATATAAAAATAAACATGGTTTCATCTTTATACAACTTGTAGGCTCTTGTGTGCTATTACAAAGCCTATTATGGAAATGACGCACATATAGCCAGAATTTTCGGGGGGTCTGAGATATTAATAGAGATTGATTAATGCGCGCTATTGGTCAATTGATTAGAAAAGGGTAACTTTATAAGGGTTTGTTTCTATAGAAGCTTGGCATTCCATCACCGGATTAAATTTCAACCTTCCACATCTCGACTTGGAAGCCCTTTGTTATACAATTGCTTACCTCGTTGTGAATAAAAGTTCCTCGCGATAGTTATACAATTGCTTAAACTGGGCTTTAGCAAGCACCTCGTTGTGAATAAAAGTTCCTCGCGATAGTTATACAATTGCATTTATGTGGCCTCATCAGAAAGGAAGCAAGCTCACTTATCTGTTTGATGGACTTCCACTAGTGTTTCGAGACTTTATTGATTTTGTCTACAATCTTGACATCACGGGGACGAATATTGACAGGGTTTATTCGTAGAAACTGCAGTTCTCGTCCAAGAAAACACCTTCCAGAAACATTGCTAGGAGCCCTAGTTATGGCTTTGAGTCTGAACGTCGTATACAACCTCGAATTGAACAACAGGCCTGGTGAGAAGCAATTCAAATTTATTCTGACCTCACACATTCCGTTTATCTCACTCTCGAATGCAAACTACAGCTACTTATCCACCAGCTTCTTTTTAAATTCGGGATGTTATCAGTGATGATCCATCCACGCTCAGTAGAATCTCTGTTTTCATTTCTTTTAGAAATAATTCTGCATTGCCCAATTTTTGTCTTAAAAATCTGCATGCCTACCGCATTAGAATACAAGCTTGCATTAATCACGTATAAATTCTACATGTTCAGCAATATGTTCTGGCAAATGTCGCCCATAAACCTGATTTATTGTTTCTAATTTTATCGCTTGTCATTCCAAAAAAATGCGCAATAAGCTTTACCTGTCAAACAGGTCTAACTAATTATTGCGATGAAAAGTAATCCACGGTAGTGATGTTCTTCACAAAAGTTACATGTCATAGAAAATATTTATGTGTCAATTGATTCACTGTTAAAATTATATATATATGATTACCCGTATATGAATAGTAATAATTACAACGTATGCATTTCTTAGAGATAGGTTGCAAGTGTAGTTGCTCGAAAATGGTTCTGCTGAGTTACGTGAAGCGTTTCAAATCTCTCTAGATCCGAACAAGATATATATTTTAATGGCCAGTTGAAAGCAATGAATGATGTAGAAATAACTGTCGACGTTTAAAAAAGAAAACGCATACTATAAAAGAACTTTTTACTATTAGGATTACAATACGTCACTTTATCAGAAAACGTACCCGGAATTCGTCGCATTCATTTGAAATCATCTAGCAATGAATGGTATAATCCCGCGCATTTACAGTGACATCAAACGAGTGCCGCGATGGAAAACCAAAATACCCATTGATATAACCGTTGCTACCGCCATGAAGAATGCTATCCCGAAATCAATGGATTACCAAGTCCCGGTAGAAATGTCAATCGCATTACTCAATCGCTTACACTTTTACCAGCCGAAACAATTTTATTGCGGGTCTTGAAGACAATAACACGTTAAATTTATTAAAATACGATGTGTTTCGCAAGTTATGGCACCAACTAACATCGTATATTCAAATCGCGAGTCCAAGAACGGATTTATGTGACACGTGCCAACATTTTCGGAACGGCTTACAGTATAATGCGCGCAAGGAAGGAGAAGCAAAAGAATTACTGAAAAAATACAAAGAACATTTAGTTAAGGCTAAATTAAAGAGAAACTTTACAACAAAAATGCGAAATTAGCAGAACAGCAGAGGAAATTGGTAGACGAACATTTTATAACAGGAGGTAAAGCTGATTGCTGTAACGTTGACGCTACTGCTCATTACAGTTACGATTGGGCACAAAATGTCACGTGACCCATTCCGATCAACAGGTTATCTCAGTCCACATAAAGTGCGAATAATTCTTGATGAGGACAAAATTATAGGAAAAGGCCCTAATGGCACATTGAGCATGGTATTCGATGGAATAAAGAAATTGCGTAAAGGCGAAAAACTACTTGTGACACGCGGGTGGTCAGAATAAAAATGATGCCACCATTTGGTTTTACCTATATTTAACAATTTGTGGTTATTATAAAACCATCGAATTAAATTTTATGGTACCTGGACATAAATTTAAGTGTGATGGCAGTTTTGGATTGATTAAGAAACTCTATAGAAAGACAGTAGATTGTGTGGATCATATTGTTGAAATTGTGAAAAGATCGAGTACAGCTGAATTAAACAAAGCTCAGCATTATGACAACGGAAAAGGTTTTCAATACTTAGATTGTAACTCAGTGTTGGGAATTTAGGAAACACATTTATCACGAGTTCAGATTCACTATAGTCATTGGCATAAGCAGGAATATCACTTTCCTATTTTTTTCTTTTTAGTGTCTTTACAAGTTTTTCTCCCACAATGCTTTCAAATTTTTGCATAGTTTCTTGTAATATTTCTCCAAGTTGATCACCAAAACTTACTATTACTTCATTATGCAACTTAACAACAACCTTACTCTTTTTGATAATAATGTTATCTGAATTAGGTGTAAGTTTTTCTTTAGTTATTTTTATTTGTTCAGCAGTAGCCTGTTTGTAAGCTTCCTTGGATCCAGTAACTCCATAGTTTTCTTATAGTTGGGGACAATTTGCAATAGAATAATAGAGTTCTGCCCTCCCAATTTTCCTACTGATACCCCATTGGTTTATATCCCCTGTATATTTTGTTTTTAACACTGACAGAATGTCTATGTCTGCCCATTCTTGCCTCGTTATTTCTTGCAAATTACCCCTATGACTTTTGGAGCAGATTGCTGCATGGCATTTGGTTTGCAACCATAATATTAGACCAGAAAAAACACCCCCTCCAAAATCAGAAATTATACATGCCTTTTTCATGCACTCTACATTATCACACGTGTGACAAACTATTCATGCAAATATAATTAGGTGTGTTATCATCTTTCCAGGTAAAGTGCTGGCCTTTCAATTTCTTTTGACCATTATGACATTGTCCTCTGCTGTCTTCACAAGCAGTAAATCTCAATTCAACATGATTACCATCTTACCCTAAAAGGTCGATGTTTTTTTCTCACTCTGCAATTTTTTCATCTAATTCTTTAAATTATATTTTGAGAACAACCTCAACAACAAAATTCGATATGCTCTCTTCTTCATCTTAGCAATTAATGGTTAAACCTTCTATTATATTGTCATGATTACTTATTATTATTATATAGTATGTTTTGAGCAAAATAACTATAGAATTTTTTAAATCACAGTGAGAGTAAAACACTAATATTGTGTTTAGAAATCTCATTAATAAAGCCGAAATAGATAGTAAGTTTGTTTGTATTAAAATTTTTTGTCCAAATATTTCTGCCTTTTGTTTTGTAACGGCACATCATTATCTATATCCTGCTTTCTTTTCTTAATATTTATAACTTTCGTTCTTCTTGATAAATTACATAAGTAATTTTTTCTTTATTTAGATATTCCTGGAGAGTTTGGGTATCATTGATTTTAAAAACATATGGTGCAATTTTTTCTCCTTGAGCTTTCTTTAAAATGCTTCTTATAGTGCTGTGATTTTTTTGGTTCATGATGGATTTGATGTAATAGTAAATTAGTTTCATATTTATATTTGTTTATATAGACATAATCCTATATTGATCATATTGTAGTTTCTAGGCAAAAGCTACACTCAATAAGTTGAATGCTAGTTACACTTTGGCAGCATCTAAATCAGTAATAGTAACGGGAGCACTTTGTTGAAATAGTTTATTTATTTCGGTTCTCTTTTATTGTTGACCGATTCCGGCATAATGATTAATAACTGTTGCTTTTGCTTCTCAGTTTCAGTTTGGGGACCAAATAAATGCACTTTACGTGGACTGAGATAATAAATAGCAACTTAGAATCAAAGTTTCTGGAAGGGCTGTTAATTTCACACGCCCAAAACAATGGGTCCGGAGTTGCCCTACCCCGAACCGCGGGTGTATTTGGACGGCCCGGCCGTTTTGTCTGTACAGTGAATTACTGTCTATAGTCCCTTCGTTTATAGTCACACCACATGAAAACTCTGTCTGTAGTCACACTCTCCTACATTCTCTCTAGTGCCAGTTTCATAATAGAACATAAGCAATTTACTCTGTCTCTAGTCACATATGTCTATAATAACTTTTTTCAAAATTTGCATTGTGCCAAAATGGTGTGACTATATAGTAGTAGTGTCTGTTTCTATAAATAATTGACCCACTATGCTATCACATAAATTCCGATACGGCAGGTTTTTTTTTTCTCTCGACGTACCCTTCTAAAATAGTGTGTTGCACTGGTTACTTGCTGTACGTTTCATATCTTTTTTATTTGATGCTGTCTATTTTATGTACATAATATTCTATAATGCATGCAGTGCTCAATAAAATACATTGCCAAATGATCTATCAATAATGACACTCGCAAAAGCCCGTCACGACGACCGTAAAACACTCTTCATACTTGCCGCACTTCTGGATCTCTCCCATTACTCTGTTCAGCATTTCTTATATCATCCTCGCTCACTTCATATCCCCAATACCACAAAATCCATATCTCTGCAACGACCAAATTGGGAAGGAAAAAAAGCCATGCGGCGACCGTCAACCATTTCACTTTTTCCTCATAGTCCAATTCCCCAGCAACGCTGCTCTGCCTGTCCGAAACGGCATAAATAAATATCGGCGACACGTAGAGCCTATACAATGCAGATCCAATTCCGAGTGCAAACGTTCTTACCGCCCATCGTTTGTGGATAGCGATTTGTTTGCGTTGCGCATAGAAAATCGTTAACATGGCGTATGATATGAGCAGGATGCCGTACATTGCGAATGGGAGATCCGTGGCTGCACCCCCGACTGTAGAGCGAGTGAAGATGTAAATAAAGCCGAATATCGAGGCTGTCACACAGCCTAGAATGTAAATACGTCCGGAATAGCGATGAATAATTATATATTTACGACGTATGTAGGGAAGGAGTTGGATCGGACCTGATGATGGACGGTAAATTGTACGCATTAGTTTGACAATAGAGAAAACAAAGATTCTAATATGTCTTGTACCTTGACGGTAAATATGGAAATCACCGATAACCAACGAATCCCCTCTCCCCTCATTGATCTAACCAAAACTAAATAACATTACTAATAATATGTCGTCCCAGCCAGCTCAACTCACCACACAGGTTGACCAAAACTCCACCGACCCAATGGGCACAGATAAACACAGCACCGTACACTGAACTTCCATAATCGCTTGCGGTCACCCATTCACTAGTCGGTTTAGTCCAAAATCTGAAGACAATATACAGCGTAAACCCGATCAATAGGAAAGTAATAAATGTGTAGAGAACATAGGCGATAGTGACGTTGATAGTACGATATATGAGAGAGTGAGAGGAGTATGCAAAGAAGCAGCCGCGTTCCTTTTGTGATGACTGTAATGTTCTTCTTTCAGAGTTACTCAATGTCGTTGTTGCCATGTCTATGTGTGCGAGTGTAATTATTTTGGTTGATTTTTTTTTTTTCACTTCCAGAGCGAATGAATGTTAGAATAAGTAATATATTTTCACTAATCCAGAGTGAATGCACATGCAACGTAAATGTTCAGGCTAAGACAGCAAAGAGACTGTTTTACAGTCAACAAGGTTATAAGGCTTTCGCCTGTAGTACATGACGCACGCGTGAGGGGTGGGTCTTTACTTGTTCTCTATTGAGAACAAGAGACAACGAGATCCCTTGTGTATGTTTTTCATTAACTTGTCTTCCATTCTTTGATTCGTGTCACATTCCAAATGAAGGTTTCACTATTCGAACCGTGTGGCCGGTGGGAAACAATACTAACCAACAACATTCGTCGTTACTATGAAGACCAAACAATGTGAACCACAGACAACGACGCAGGATAGTTTCATACAGTTGTACCGTAAATGGTATGTACAAAGTACAGAATAAAGTTGCGGGACAGGAGATTTGGTCTGTTTGAAGATTGTCAATTGAGAATAATATGAATTGAATCTTGACTTGGAATATGCGAACATTCTTGCAACCGTGAGTTTAACCTGCTTACATATATTAAATGTATAACGCTGTTCAAGTTGCCTAATGCGCGCAATTGTGGCGGTTAGTTCGCATGCGGAATTCGATTTAAGGGAAACTGTGTACTTGACTTGTTGGACTGTTTAGTCATCAGCATGCCAGGAGACAAGGTATACGTCCGCAAAGAAGGCTCGATTCTGGTTGATCGAACGAACGAGTGTTTGAATGAAAAAAAAGTATTGTCAGAATTAAGATGCGCGATATTGTCGAATGACAGACAATTGTCATTTTAACTGTTAAGATGACACATTTCCGTATTCAAGGTATCAGGAATGGCTTTATTGTTCAAATCGCTGACCGCATACAGTGTGCCTTCATATTAACGATCAAGAAGATATGCGGGTTTTATTTTGTAAAAAATATGCGCTATTGATTTTAGTTCTTCTCCATGAAAAAACGGATGCAATACGTAGGTTTTTGCTTTTCGAAAAATGAGGTTCCAGTTGTAACGGTGGATTTTACGTTGCTGATAAACCATGAATCGCATTCCGACAAGTATCAAAACACATTAATACTCGTATTCATCGGCAGCGTGAATTGTCAACATCGATTCTTTATTTATTTGTTTCAAGTTTTCCACGCGGAATGAAAGTCCTAGTGAATTTTGTTTTCTCGCGGCGAAGAACTAGGAACTTACTCGACTAGTATGCTTGAATTAATGGTTCCAGTGAATTATGAGCGAAGATTTGTTAGGGTTATTGGATATGACTATATATTCGATGAAATCTATACGGTTGGAATAGACTCGGCCGTTACATATGAACGTCGTACCTATTCGACTCATGTCAGTGGCAAAAATAATACTACACTAAGGTTTAATGTCGAAGTGGAATTAATATTAATGTACGCGCAATTGTAGTTGTTAGGCAATTTATTTAAACTAACATCAGGGGATAATTACGAGTATTCGTGAGGTTAACTTAGAATTCTAACCGTCGAGGATAATATAATCGAAGAATCACTAGAGTAAACGAATTATGTATGAATATGAATTATTCACCCACTCGACCCGCTTATGCTTTTCTGAAGAATACGAGATTAGCACGTTTACTAAATAAATACAATTGTATCAATCACGAGAGCACGTAATGAAGTGGGTATCGAACAACCCTCGTACTACCGCTTGAGATACTAATACATGAGACACAACTAAATCCGTCTATCGAAAATATATTAGATGGTAATTTCATATGGGAGGTAATCATTTCACCGACAAATATTTACCAACATTATTTCGAATTTATCCTTTTTTAGTAGTTAATCGTCGGTGAAATGTACTGTCGGTGAAATTATTGTCGATGAAATAATACGGACCCATTACATTCTGAGACATAACACGTTACAGTGGTTTTTACTATTTCTTAATTGTACTCTTTTACTTTCGATTAAAGAATTACTGTGCATCATTGTTGTTCTGGTATAGTGTCACCCTTGTTGTAAGTTGTTAGTAAAGAGTCGGAATTTAGGCTAAGAACTTTCGAGTTATCAAATTTGTGGGTCACAGCATGCAGACCTCTATCACCATTGTAGGAATACAAATATCAGATCATCTGTGCTATTGTTTGACATAAGTATATTCAATGATATACGATTCGTTTAATCGTATGATTCAATGGTGCGACTCGTTTTAATCGTATGATTCAATGGTACGAATTCGTTTTAATCGTATGATTCAGTGGTATGATTTGTTTTAATCGTATGATTCAATGGTACGATTTGTTTTAGCGTATGATATTCAATGGTACAATTCGTTTTAATCGTATGATTCAATGGTATCGAGTACACGATGACATAATTGATTTAACAGGGTATGTTGCATGAATTACCTTAATCGCATACTTGTGTTTCTAGCGATGCATATCGTACCGTATTATTTGGATGATATTCCATTGACTGAATCGATAAACTAGTGCAGACTGACGCTTGATAATACCATTTCTTTGGGATTAATCAAATATTAATATGTGTATAATGGGTGGGTATGTGTGTCTATATAATAAAGGTGATTGTAGAGAGTGGAGATTATTATTATTATTATAGAGAATTGAATTAAAACAGGGATGATCTATTATCCAATATTTCGAATTTGTACGACCTGGCAGGTTGTGCGACCTGGAAGGGAAATTCCCGATTATAGATATATGGCGCAAACCGTGCCTAAACATTGGGGAAAAACCAATCAGATGCTACGAAAAAAAATCACGCAATCATCCTTTCGAGAATAACAGTAATAGTAATAGGCTGTGTAAAGTAACATTTGCATACACATTATTACATGAAACAGTGCATCATATCTCGATAGTTCGCTTTTTCCAAAGAATACGACTAATGTTGACGTTATCTGGTTGCATTGCAATATCTCACTGATGAAGAGAGAGCGAAGAGCACAGATCAGTGATTTACCCCCTATAAGGTCTAAAACATTCGCCCGGGAACATGATCTAGCCTGCGATGTATGCATTACATCATCATAACGTCATATTTAACATTTATATATATATATATATGAGTGGAGGAATTGCAGCAAGCAAACAAAAAATCAATATTGCACATACTGCACCATGTCTACCGCTCAAGGCACGCGAATTATTTACAAGCCACAAGGAAGCCGGGACGAGTACTTTGTGTATGCGTATCCCGAAGAGGTAGATGGAATGGACAGAAACGATTTCATTTCTCTTCTTTTGAGAATAATCGTATTGATATTATTTATTTCGTAGGTAAAAAAGTGGCGTAAGGATAAATCTATTCCATTAACGGACGTAGTACAATGTATGTCTTGCTATTTATCGAAACTAATCTAATTCAACCTTGAAAATAACACCATCACTGCCTCTGTTTTAATTATAGCATTTGATATATTCGAAATCTTTGGTGGTGGCAATGACGGAATCGCTGGACGTCCATCGAAACAAAGATTAGAAAATACGTTTGGTACTAGCAAAAACATGGATGTGCTTGAGATCATACTAGAAGACGGTATGATACATAACACAGGCAAGGAAACATCCGGGTCTTTCGGTATGTATTTGGGAGCCTTGTTTGAGGGAGCCTTTGAGATGCTAATAATAAATAAGGAGTGATCAAACGGAATTCGCCAAGCCAGATTTCATTCCAACACTTTCTTCATTCTAGCAGCCATTAATGAAACTCGTGGGAAAGGCGTGGCGACTGCCGAAAACGCTATGGGAATTCATAACTAATAATCTGTACTGTCAGAGAATAAAGTTTACCCATTAATTAATTAATAAAATCTTACTTTCTACTACCAATAACAATCTGGTGATCTATCGTAGTGGCTGTGGAATTAAAAATGGTTCATATGACGACGGCCTCACTACAAACCTTTAATTATGAAAATAACCATTATTCTTTTGTATGTGTATGCAGTTCAGTTTTATGAATTATGTGACAATTATGTGACAATTAGTCAGCGGTTACTTTTATCGAAATCTTTTTGTGGTGAAATACATTAATTAATTAATACAAATATGGAAATAAGTCTGGCCAGCAGATAAAGATGATGGATGATAATGGTGACGATAATAATGGTGATGATGGAGACGAGGAGACGACGATTAAATTAAAAAAAACTAGCTTTACAGAAGAAACCCATTCGTAAGTGGGATATTATCTTTGCACACAAAGTCGGCATACTACCTTATTGTACCTTGTCAAAATTCAGCATCACAATTCTCCTTGAAATTGATTAACAGTGTCTTTACAAATGCCTGCTCATACTTTGTGTTCTCAAAAACCACTGCAAGATTTTCAGATGGACATCGGAGAAAACTAGGCGCAAAGACCATTGCAAGATTATTAATGTTCATTTTGGTGGATTTTATTGTCATTGGATCAGCAAAGAGCTAGTTATTGCAGAGAGGTAGAAATTCATTTTAGTTGTGTAAGCAAATCGCGTGTATATTTCACATTACGATTATAGATTGAACCTTACCTGCAAAAAGTTAATCGTGAACGCAACCACCCTCCTATTGATTTCCGGCAACTTTTTCACAATCTCGATCGTAGCGTCACTGTCGTCGGAGCATTGAATACACTCATCATAGAATTCGGAAGGTATCAACGGATCCGTCAATTCGCGCAACCAGTATTTGAAAAGTGAGGATGGAATATTTGGGTCTGCTATTCCCGTTATGTCGTAGCTGTTATTCTCAATACGAAGTCGCTAATATGATAAATGTTCGGAAAATAAGTTAATCACGCGTGAACAAAAGAGAGATAAAGAATAAAAAAAACGGAAAGCCCGTATTTTTCAGTAACTGATGCAAGTGTTCAAACTCATAGTACTCACCAGTTCAGCAACAGCGTCTACGTCACCAGGTACTCGAAATATTCCTTCCGATGTTTTGCCTTGTAGATTGAGAATAGCAACGGACAAAAAGGGCAATATCCTTGGTATTTTGAGATCAGGATATTGTTTTTTCTGTAATTTCATTATGTCGTCTAGCTTTGCGCCAAATACTGAAGGATGAAACGGCGCTACCTATAAGTGAGATTTGTTAGATAATGACAGTAATAGTAATATTATAATAATAAATACTTATTGTCAACTTACCTTTGCTCGTTCAATCTCAGGGTACGTAAGCACTTTTCCACGAGGCCCACATTTGGCTATCTTAATTAGGCGCGAATGCACATATCTACTGATCGTATCAATATTATTCTCTTTAATGTCGAAATGTCCAGTCACAAACCGCATTACGAAAGCTTCAAAGTTTTTTGAAACTGGGAAAGTCACCGAGACCACGCAGAGTAATTCCCAGCCCTTGCTGACAGACACTCTGGAAAAATAAATGGACATGATTAATATCCATTTTTATGTGCAAAGTTCGATTACAAGGTCTCTAAGCCATCCAATCATTCATGTCTCCTCACTCTCACACTTACTTATTTGGGTTATTAGAAAGCTGTTTACATATCTGTACATAAATTTCATCACGCAACTCGCCGTATAATATGCCCTTACTCAACAACCACTGTGTTTCCATAAGAGGTGTAGAAGGCGTGTGTATCAGCCTCGGTCGCGACCTATCTCCCATTATTCGCTGAATTGCCTTGAAGCATTTCAAAGCAATTTTATGAACCAGTTTGTTTTGTATGATCATTAATGGTAGGTGGAGAGATTCCTGTATTCGACAAGAAATACCAGTGTTAAAGAAACGCGCAAATAGGAAACAGACAATGAGATAGAGAGCTGGATAAAATATGTACTCTTTGAAACTCGAGCAACTTGTCAACAGGTATTCGGCGTCTAAATATCCCTTTTTTGTGAGTATTGAAATACTTTTCGGCAAAGCCTTCAACACGGAATTTATTGATTTCTTCTTGTAAATCTGGTGGAAGAGCCATTACCTTCCTGATTCAAAAGTAAAACGTTGGAAATGAATAAAGGAACAAGGATTGATGAATTTCATGTGCAGATTCGTTCTCTTCGTTCCCCCCGTCCTCATCTTGCAACTTACCCCGTGATATGAATTGGTGATGTACTATCATTCTCATTCCCGTCAGATATAGGGAAAATATTTGGTTTCATTGCAAAAATTGCATCTGTTAACAAATATTGAATAGACGTTAATACAAAAGAGACTGGTAAGAAATATTTGTGCAAACAAACAACTGCACACAGTCATCAACGATATTGACATTTGATGCGTAACACTTACCGTTATTTATAATGGGCTCACTAATTCCAACATTTTTTGCGTATTCGGCAAGTTTAGGCGATTTACGCACCGATCCACATAAGAAAAGATCGGAACCCGATCGATCATCTGAATTCTCAGACGAGAGCACAGACGTTTGGGATTTAGAGGGACGAAGTCTTTTAAGATCTTCTGCAGACTAGAATGTGTAAAATAGGTGAAGAACGTGTGAGCGATTACGGTTATAACTGACGGGGGTTGGTTCAATGATATTATCTCAATGATACTACATTCCTAATCCACATTACTCTCATTGTGCATACCTTTGAAGTATGTCCAATAGTTCGTTGTGAAGCTGGCGTAGTATCGATTTCTGTCTGAGACCTGGTACGAAGTAGAGACAATTGTTTCCGTCCCCCTGCGTCGCTTCCACTAAAGTCACTCGATATTACTGATATTGCATCATCAGGGTTGTTGATACTCTTTTCTCCAAGAGAATTCACATCTCGATTTTGGGTAATTGGGGAAACACTGGTATCTTGGCCTCCAGAATCCACTTCTGATTGATTGCCGATACTGTTTGCTGACAAGGGTATAGACAACGGGGATATCGGTGGCGAAATTGAGTTTGAAATGTCGGGAGAGGAAGAAAGTGATAGAGCACTTGGTTTATTGTGTTGTTGTTTGTGAGAAGAAGAAAAGGAAGCGGATGATGATAAAGATGCGGAGAAGTCGGATTGTTGTGCATGCGGTGAAGACGAGGAAGAAGAAGAAGGAGAAGAAGAAAATGCAGATGCGGATGATGGTGATGATGATGAAGCGGTGTTATCCATGTTATATGTATTATTTGCATTATCCATGCTATGCGAGTTTTGCATGGTTTCAGTGTTATGTGTCTTGCCCGTGACATCCGTATTTTGTGTGCTGTATATATGTGAAAGTGTGGAAGATGCATGTGATCTACGAATAAGATTTTCTTGGTGTATTTGTTCTATATTTATATCTTCGTCAGATGGAACCAATGCCACAGACATTCGTTTCCCTATTGTCGAAGTCTATACCCGAAGGAGGCAACGTTTACCAATTAATATAAATTCGATATTTGCACAGTTCTCTGCATGCATACATACTTGTATCATTGTTAAGGGTATAATGATACCGTGTTGTGGTCTCAGCCATTCAGTTTCTCCCGTTTTAGTATGATAATAATAAGGCAACTGATGGTATTCGTCGAAAAACTCCCACCATTCACCGTTTGGATTTCTTGGGTAGCTAATTAAAAGAACAAGCGTTGGTAGTGTTATGGTAATGTTAGTTTCACAGTCTTGCAAACTCGTATTCTTGTAATCTCGCACACTTGTCACACTCTTGCAATCTCTCTTTTACTCTGACATTCTTCTTCTTTCCTCTTTGTAATTCACATAATACGGAATACTTACAGATCTACGTCCTCTGGTAAATCCCAGACACATTCGCCGGTTTTCTAAGTCAATGAAAGAAGTTGGTTTGCCAAATAAGTGAAATAATAATAAAAATACTACTACGGTTTGGAAACGCCCAAACGTCACTCTGCATAAAATAAATAAAATTCTCTTAAATGTTTCTCTGCCTTTTTTGCTATGTCGAAGTAAGACAGGGTCTCTTGTTTCTTTTCTTTTCTTTCCAAAAGGAAGTGAATAGACTATTTACCGTGTTGGCGTAAAAGGCTCTTTCAGTTTGAGGATCAACTAATTCGACCCATGTATTATTGATAATTATGGCCATCTCCATGAGAATAAAAAGTCAGAGTGAAACGGAGGAATACTGGAGTTTATGTAGTCAAACGTGAAGCAGTCGGAGTGGCACAGTGGTAACAGTGATATAGCGAACATATATTAATAAATATAAAGAATAATATTAATATACATGTATTATCTCCCCATGTCTATTGCTATATTAATTGTTTCCCGAAGTCTCAAAATTTTCCTAATCGACCAAATCCAAAACCTACAACGTACCCTTTACATCCAAATTTAATGAAATCCCTCCCCCAGAAAGTTCTTTGTGTGCTTATATAAACGTTGGTAGCTGCGTATTTGTCGCACACGCACATTCGGGTATCAGCCGTATTTTCACTGTTGATCTCATTGTGGAGGAGCTGCGTTTTATATTAATATCCAACTGGTTATATTAATACAATAATAATAGGAAATAAGAAAGAACAACACTAATAACGCTTATTATGGTTAATCGCCGGACATGTAGCACGGAAACAGTAATCCACTTTACAACACGCACTCTTCAACAAAAGATAGTAATATCATCGGCATCATCATCTAGCGATCCAACTGGCTAACCTGAAAAAACAAGCAGATCTTCTGAAAGAGACACATCCTATATTCGCACATGCCCAAGAATCTATTATCGATGCCCAACTACGTTAATCCCAACAGATTACGATACGGGTTAGTCTGGGTTAGTCATCACATCATGTAGGAATATTTGTATTGCCACCCACCGAATGGCATTGACATCACCATCCTGTTCCCTGACGCTATAACCAATTGTGTAGATTACTTTTACAGCTTGGTCAGTTACGCAGTTGGCAAAAGAATGATGGGATTCTCTTTCTCTTTCAAAACATTGACATCATCATTATAATTATATAATCTTATATTATATACCATATTGTGCTGTCTAAGCCACCTCCGTTGTTTCATTAAATACCGTCAATGAATTATAATGGCGTTTCAGCCGATGACACTAGTCTGACGTATGACGGATAAGGTTCTAGAGCTTCTCTTGCTAAGTCTAGTAGTGTGATCATTGACCGCGATCAGGCCAAGATTTCTCTTCCGATAACCCTTGACCGAGTCTCTCAATCATCGGAACATCCAATCTTCTCTTGCGAGGAAATACGGGTGCTTCCAAATCTCCGTACAGCAATGTCCGATAGTCAACACCGAAATATGAGCGCAAGAGGATGTATTTCCATATAAATATATAGTTATACAAAATTCTTATTCTATTAATATGGATATATATCACATGGTTGATAAAACCGTTATCTGTGTGCACTTGGACTTTTTTATTGACACTATGGAAAGCCTATGAAGTTCATTATTGTTGATCCTATCTCTTAGTAATCTTGTCACTTTGTTGCAGCGCAAGTGCAGAACACACAAAAAACCATACCATAGCATGCCTGGTACTTATTAAACAATGCTTCGTACAACCGTTTTTGTGATTCGCAGCGAGAATGTGAGACATTCCCTTCCCAGCAAGTTAATTTTAGTAGCCAAAAAAAGATTTATGAGAATTAAATAACTTGGAGTATATTAAAGCGGTTTCCGGAGAAGAAAAAGGGTTGGCCGCCCTCAACTTTCCGTCAGAACAAAAAGTCGCTTTGATATGGCACTATGTTTGAGTTATAGCTTTATCTATCTACTCTCTCTTTTTTTTTCATCAAAAAACTGCTTGTCATGTGGCGCCTAAAGAAAAGATAAACTGTTTATTGTTGACAATACCATATTAAAAAAAACATCTAGCCATACTTGTCAGAATTGTGGTTGCATGGCAATTATTGATGCTGAGAAAGCATGTTGGCTGTACAAAGACACACGTTATATCGTTTGTGTTCACTAGTGCGACAATTGATATACCTTTGCGATTACAGCAATACATATACACAACTCATGCTCTATATCATTAACATTCCCTCGGAATTTATTGTAAATGCGCATCCTTTGTGTATTTTACGATTATACGTAAGAATTTACATCACACTTCGCCCACATTCCAATCAACAAGCATATCTCCACGATACCAAATTTTAACTTTTTGTTTAATCTCTTGATCTACACCTATTCCCAAGGAAGGAACAGCTAAAACCTGGTATGAATAACAACCGTCTTTTTGGTGGACAATTGCATCATGGCTAAAAGACGACTCGTGTTCTTGATGTGCATAAAGGGTATCATCAAGCCAATTAGCGTCGTCTCTTGATCTTTCTTTCCGAACTCTGCCATAGATTAGTGGAACACACATGACCCCCCTTGTTTTCCTTTTCGCTTTTTTCCATTCCGGCTCACCCCACTGTTTGATCTGTTTCTCATCCTCTGTTCTGAATGCTCTGACGAACAGGTCCGTTCTGTAGCTTGACAAGAGAGAAATGAAAAATCGGCCATCATAAAGATTGGTGTGAAAAGGTTTAAGAGCAACTGGAGTAAATAGTGAAGAGATAGCCGTAGGCCGTTGGCGGGACAGGAGAATAACCAGCATTTGCGTGGTGGAAGGATACTGCGGATGAAACGGAAATTGCGCAGTCTTGAAGAGAGTTGTAGTTACTCCATGGACCGTAGGGAGGTGCAAGGGCGTGTATGTGTGATGCATGCCAGTACAATTGCTAATTACATTATCATTTTTCCTGGAATCTTTTTCTTCCCACCTCTTTTCAAATTCTATATCCATGCCATTGAATATGCTCCTTTTAATCTCCCCATAGATTTTCTCGACATCCTTTAATCGTGGACCATGATCACTACATCTCACCCATTTTATAATATTTCCTAACACTCTCTTAGCAATATAACCTTCCATGAACCAGTGTGATTTCAGAGACGCCGACGATTCCGGAATAAAAAGCAGAACCGCTCCAGTTTGAGAGTCAAAAAGTGTGCAATCAGAAGAGAGAATTTTGGCAACTAAAAGTTAAGAGAATGAATGAGCTCTACTCGTAACAGTAAATCCATCAATACAGTTTTTTTTTTTTTCATACCTTGTAAATCAATGGCATCTTTATGTGTCTTCATATGAAATAAAAAATTTGCCAGTTTATCAGTTGACAATGCCTTGTAAGCCTCGCTACCATTCTGGTATCTATCGTTGAATAATTTTAGAGCAGATCGGACTACATTTCTTTTATGCTTGTGCGAACTGTTGGTCGGATCTTCAAACCACTTTACGTTGGCCGATATGCAGGTGTGCTTTAGTCGAACCTAATGACAATAAATCAATGAGATAGGCAACAGAGACTGTAAATACCTTTATTAACAACCAGTCTATTGTCTTACATCTCGTCTTTAACATTCATGCTTCCTCACCTTTTCGACTCCAATTAGAGGCCTACAAACTTGAATCCCTATCGCTTCGATGCCTCTTACCACCGGAATCTTCGCCATTGTATTCATTGCAGCCAATCCGTCTATTCCACTTCCTCGAGCGAGTCTCATTATTGAAGTCTCAATTTGATCATTTAAATGATGGCCGACAAATAGAATTAATATTCGGTGAGTGGCGAGGTGAGTGGCGAGGAGAGAGTAACGGTTTATGCGCGCGTGAGTCTCGAGTTTTGATGACATTGGCGGAAGCGAAGGATCAGTGGATAAGGCGGGTGAAGAGAGTGGCCAAGTGAGTCGTGATATTACGTGGGAGACACCTTGTTGTGAAGTGAGACGCATTTAAGAGAAAGTCACCATATGTCAATTTATGTAATAAATTCAACATACCCATTATTTTCAACTCTTCACCAACTAGTCTTGCTTCTTCAGAGCTCTCCGAACGTAATCCATGATCTATTATGAACGCGGTTAAACCAACATTCTTCTCTCGTGTATATCTATTCAGTAGATAGCATAACGCCATGCTATCCACTCCACCGGACACGGCAATACCTGATGAAAAGGTAAAATACAACATAGGATGGAATGTCTTCATCATTAGTATTAATCAATTATTAATTGTTCCGATTAACCATCCCAGCAGGCAAGCGCTTCTATTCTTTTATCTCTTCTGTTGATAACAAACCCACTTGTTTTGCTTGTTGTATGATTCCTATTCTCGACATAATTGTCGCGAATTCGGTACGAGATATAGGATGCATTGAGGAGCATGCTTCCTTGCTATGCAGTAAGTTTTGACTAAATACGGCACATCCATTGTATCCGCGATTTACTTATTATTATTTTCCGAGACATCACAACAAACCTCACTTATACTTGGGCAAAACAAATGGTATTTTCTATTAGCATATATTAATATGCCCTATTACTATAATTACTATGCATGGCTTATATGTTACAGAATCTTTTTCTTAATTCTTGAGATTTGGTGTTATTATAATTAGAGGAAATCTTTGGTTTCTAGCATTGGTTTTTCTCTAACTTCAGTAAACATTATCCTATACTTGAGCAATATAATGCATGGCATTTTAGATTATAACATTCTTTCACACCAATTTTTCATATTGTGACCTGTTTTTGGACCTATTTTTCAAGATCTTCTATTGACTGAGATACATTGTATATGTAATTGTAGCCCAAAAAGTTCTTAGGACAATACCATTCCTCAACTAATTTGTTTGAAATTTGTTTATTTCTAGTTTTTATGCACATTAAAGCGATTTCATAGATAATTTCACAAGTTGGTCAAAAACCTTTTTTGGATATCCATGTGCAAAACTAGTTTATAGAACAACAGAAAATTGGGTAACTTACATGGCTCTGGGTTTATAAGCTTGTTGATAGTGCATCATTGTGCAAATCTTTTGGTTAAATTTTATGTCATCCTTGTATGTGAATTGAAAAATAGGTCTAAAAACATTATTGTTTTGTCAAGCTTTATCTAATTTACAAAAATTTGGATTTACTATTAGTTATGATTTACTATTACTATTGCAATACAAGTTAAAGTCATCCACCCACAAGTGATTAATAACTTGCAGATTTATTACTATGTGAAAATCATTGGAGGGGATATTTACATCAGGAGTTGTCCTATGAGTATTTGAATAA